GGGACCAGTGGAGGAGGATCTATGATTTGTGAGTTTGGATCTTATTCTTATTATCCTTCTTTAGTTTCGTCTGTAGTTATGTGTGTGTGTGTGTTAGTCGAAGTAGATATACTAAATGACTTTTGTACCGCTGTGGATAAAACTGCTGTTTAGATGTAAACTTTATGGCTTTTGGTTTTATTTTTGATTCCATATCAACCAAATATCAGCTCGAGTACCATTTGCGTTTTCCTTTGTACAATAAACATGACTAATTGTTCCCACAGCCATGGAAAAGCTAAGGGCGGCCTGATCAAGTCTGGCACCTCAGGCTTCAACACAGACCTGCAGCTGAAGGAGGTAAGACGCATGATTTTAAAGTATCATCTGTACTTTCTATATGACAACCTTCGCCCTTTTATTGGTGAATAAAAATGTAGGAGTTTTTAACAACGAATTGTCTCCAAATCAATGTAATCTTCTTGGACTAAAGATGGATGACCACGTAAACTCACTTATATGTCCATTTTTAATAATGATTGATCTCCGAGTAAACCAGTCTCTATTTTTCTTCTGCACATAGTTCTACCTTGCATCTTTACTTTATTCAGGACTGTGTTCCATAAACACACTTTCCATCTATCTTATATTATCTCCACATTAGGGTACTTTACATCTTCCTCTTACTGAAAGAGAGCACTTTTTCACAGATCGAATTGTTCAAACAAGAACACGAAGAGGAATTGAGTGGAGCCTCTAGAAGCGTCGACCAAGTCCTCGAGAGCACAAAGAACAGCATCGCTTGGCTTGACCGCAACTACGAGAACATCGTCCAGTGGCTTGATAACAACGGCTACAGCACCAAACTTCAAAACGAGTAGTTCTTTGGCATACTCTTTTTTAATATAATCCCAATATTCTTTTATAACTTTTGACATTGACAAATATGTTACTTGTGGTAATCTTCAGTAGTGTCAAAAGTATATTGTTTGAGTGATGGCGAACCTCATAAAGTATGGTTACAATGTCATTCAAACAGCATCTGTAAAATTCATTCATATAGACCTGTAGCTGTAACCTCACGGTGTGCAGACTTATTCTGTCATCTTCATTCAAACAAACTTAGTCTCTTCCTTGCCTTCCTGTGTTGTTATATCTGTCATATTATTTATTGTGTTTCAAGTATCTATATATACAATAGCTTCAGTAATAAGTGAAACCTAAGAAGAACGTCTTGAGTAGGTTTGTATCCTGTAAAGTCCGCAAATGAAGTTGGGAACAACGATCTCTTATATACATTTTGTCACATATGAAAAGGTATTATGTGAAATGTATTCCATATACCACCAAGACTGTACAGGCAGTTCGTAGACCCTTTTCAATGCGTATTTTTTACTCACCATAAGGTAATCAGCAGGATGTAGCATATTAATGGAATGACAGGAAGAAATTTGTACAGAGGGAATATGACACTTAACCAAGAAAAGTGCCATGGTCTATTGTACTCGGTAAAACATCTCTTTCGATTGCATTTCTTAAATGTATATATACAAAACGCAAAAACCCTACATTGTGTATAATCACGAGGCTTCTCTATTCCTATATGAGAAAAGGAATTTACTTTTCTGTTAGTCCAATAGAAATTGATATTTTTTCTAGACCAGGTAAGATATGGAAAAATGCAGATGGAGTTTGCATGAGTTTATTTGCTTGCAGTTATAGAATATCTACACTCCTTTGATTCATGTCTGATATATCTAGCGTTTAAGTATATTACTTCTTGTTATGAAAAATGAAGTACAATCATAGACGATAAAATACTGTATATTTTTATACGACTTGTAGAAAAAAAAGTTACGTATTCCCTGTCTATTGTATGCACATAAGTTTATAGAAAATATTGTATATATATAAATATTGTTGACATTATATTTGGGACAACTTGAGGTGTTTTTTCCTTGGCCTTATGTTTCCTTTTCATTATACTTCACGAAAACTGGAATAGTTTTTTTACTTATACTCATATTTACTTACACTAACATCCTAACAATTATAAAGCGCGTGCGCGCGCGCGTGTGTGTGTATGTGTGTGTATGTGTGTGTGTGTGTGTTTGTGTGTGTGTGTGTGTGCGTCTGTGTGTGTGTGCGTATGCGTGTGCGTATGTTAGACTATATAACCTGTATATGAGTGAATATATACATTAGCCCCATGACTGTTTTTTTTCATTGCACATATATCATATTCAGCAGTGTAGGTCAATTGTAAAACAGCTTCACTTTCTCTCTGTGACCTCCCATCTCTCTCTCTCTCTCTCTCTCTCTCTCTCTCTCTCTCTCTCTCTCTCTCTCTCTCTCTCTCTCTCTCTCTCTCTCTCTCTCTCTTCTTACCCCGTTTACGCTATATTAGTTATACAAGCTGAATACAATAGGTATCCCAAAAAAGGTACGTAAGCCCCGTCCTTAAAAGTTACAAAACAATATAAATGCTACGCAGTAAATCTACCGTGCCATGACGTTTCGAAACAGAGCTATCCCTAAGGGCTCGGTTCTCCTGTTTTCATGGCCTGGCCAATCTCTAACAGCTTCACGATTGTGTTGTAGTTGGACGTCATCCAGAAAAGGTTGTTTCTCGTCCTTTCTACTACCTGCTGGACACTTCGGTGGTTCTCGTCCATGTCATTTGTCTTGTCCTGCTGGAATGATTGCAACTGCAAGGTGTAAAAATAGAATTGGAATTAGATATCGTGAGCTAGAAACTTACTCTATATGGATCTGAATTATCCGTTGATAGGGCTGACAGATTGACTATGTACATGCACACATAAACGCACACACATACACATACATACGCACACATACATAATATATGTATATATGTATAAATAAATAAATATATATATATATATATATATATATATATATATATATGTATATATATAAATTTATTCATGCATATACACATAAATACATGTGTATATACATATATACACATGCATATATACATCTACACACACACACACACACATGAATATATCTGCGTGTGTGTGTTTTTGTGTATGTCTGTATATATATGTATGCGTGTGTGTGAGTGTGTGCACATGTGTGTGTGTGTGTGTGTGTGTGTGTGTGTGTGTGTGTGTGTGTGTGTGTGTGTGTGTGTGTGTGTGTGTGTATGTATGTGTGTGTGTGTGTGTGTGTGTGTGTGTGTGTGTGTGTGCATTTTCACACATATAGCATGTATATGTCGTACCTACAGCCAGAGGTACGAAGGCTTTACCTGCTGAAGATCTTCCCTGGTATTGAAGAAGCAAGCGAACTCCTCCAGCATCTTCGCTCTCTGCCTCTTATCACTAGAACGAGAAAGGGGCAGATGCGTCACTCGTCGGATAGCATATTTAGAGTTTCGTTAATTCATATGTACATAGTAAGTGATTATAACTTACAAGGTAAAGACGTCATTCCAACGGTCCTTGAGGAAGCTCCAGGCTAAGGCGCGTCCGAACTCATTTTTCGCGACGGACGTAAACACTATTATGGAGTCCTGCCTCCTTATGTCGCCGTTGGGTAGGAAAGCCATCTCGAGATACCTGAAAGTAGAAAAAGTTTTTTTTTTTTAATTCTTTGGAGCCAAGAGTGGGAGGATATAAACAGAGAGATAAATGGACTGATAGAGAGAGAGAGAGAGAGAGAGAGAGAGAGAGAGAGAGAGAGAGAGAGAGAGAGAGAGAGAGAGAGAGAGAGAGAGAGAGAGAATAATGTAACTAGACCCTTGTAACTGTATATTCTTCTTTCATGTTTGTTATTTATGATTTTTTCTCTCATTTACATTCATGTAAACTACTGAACTTTAATCCCTTTAGTGTGTGTTTGTGTGTGTGTGTGTGTGTTTGTGTGTGTGTGTGTGTGTGTGTGTGTGTGTGTGAAAGAGGGAGGGGTCTCTTACAGGGAAATCCGCGTAGCGAAAGGTAGACTAGCGCTCACCTAGTAAGAACAGTAACTTCTTTACTGCATCCCAACCCATACAGAAGTTTCGCTTTCTCAGATGCGACGTTTGACTTCAGATATTGATTCCAACCAAAAGCCCATTCAGTCGCTCCACCTTCTGCGATGGCGTGGCAGTACACTGATGACTTCACGATGGGCGAGATGATGCTAGCGAAAGCAGGATACATCTCATGAATATAATATAGTATAATATGAATATAATGTGTCTGCTACTGTGCTGTTCTATTATAAATTTCATTCATGCGTTTATATGTAGATGTGCACAAAGAACTATCAATTCCTGCCCATAGAAATGTAGTTACTGCGTATCTAACAATGTTGGCGAACTTTTCAACCAAAAGAATAAGAAGAATTAATTGCCTTTTGTCGTTAGGTACTTCCATCCACACATGGTAGGTGGTGACGGCGTCATCTAGACATTGGGGGTGGCCTAGCCTGCAAGCCCAATACACAGCTAATTCTTGTAAATGTTGCACAGGACGAGAGTCTTCTGTTTCGTTGGTAAGCCTCAGAGAGTTGTACAGGGGCATCACCAAATCCAAGAGGAAACTCTGAAAAATATTGGTTTTAGCTCCTTTAAGCAAAAGGAAAATGGCTCGCCAAACAATATCCCAAAGTTACAATTTACCTGAAATATGCTTCTGGGTAGAATTAGTTTGGAAAAAAAATAATACAGGAATGCAAGAGTCATGAATGTCATTTACAATCACTTGATAATGCTACCTTTATAGCACCGCGGTCCATTGACGCTCCTAACATGGAGTCTAGGTAATCTAAGCTGTTCAGGGCAGCCGACCAGGGAAGATATTCAGTTTCATTTTTGAGATAAGATAGTATGTGCAGTGCAGTCTCGTAACTGAGCTGACCTGAAAGCACATAAACAGCCTCGAATATCCTTCACACTTTATTTTTGTGTCTTTTATTTGGCTTCTACATTTAAACTGTCTATCTACTTGTTGCAGATAGACAGACCAGTAGTCAGCACAGTGAATCTCATAATCCCTTACTGTATCTGATAAATATGGTTTCTGGTCTTTGTCATGATCGCTAACACACTTGTATCAGGATATTTTGCAAAAGCTATACACCCAATGTTTCTGGACTAGAACATAAAACTACTAGAATACCTGCATCTACATGGAAAGTCATCAGTTACAGACCTGCTCTAGCAAGATTCATGGCATCATCAATGATCTGCGCTCGGTTGATGACGTGGATGACCTCGTGGTCGTCCTTCAGCTGCTGGATGAGGGTGTCCCAGTTGGAATCGTCGTAGTTGACTCTGTAGTAACCCGATTCCTGCAGGTTGAAGATGACCCACTCTTCCTTCGGGGGAAGGGACGTGATAGTGATGCTGTCCTCCGAGTCCTTCATCCACACCGTAGCCAGAGTCTGATTGAAAGTGACGTCGCTCTGGGTCGTGTACGTCAGGGGAACCCACCACTTGATCTCGGGGATCTCTTCGGGGTTCCTCACCTGCCGAAAACGTTCCTGCGAAGGGACGTTTACGCTAAAATACTGCCACTGAATACTGATAAACATTCTCACTACTAGACTTCAAACGAGTTCTCTTTACCTGCGTGATGGTAGCCGAGGTACCGTCCGGACTCCTGTTTACCTTAATGACAGGGTAACCTTTTTGCGAAGTCCATGTATCCATTATCATCTTAACTGTCGTATTCTCTGGCAGTACATTGTCTAGATGCGCAGTTGTTGTCAGACTCTCCCAGAGATCGTCATATTTTGAAGTGACATTCTTGCTAAAAGGGAAACGGCTCACATTACCCACACTTTGCAAAAAATGTATACACACACACATATTCATATATATGTGTGTGTATGCATGTACATATACATATATATATACATAAGTATGTTTATACATACATATATGTATGTGTGTGTGTGTGTGTGTGTGTGTGTGTGTGTGTGTGTATGTGTGTGTGCATGTACATATGTATGTTTATACATACATACATATATATATGTGTGTGTGTGTGTGTGTGTACATATACATATATGTATGATAGTAATAATGATAATGATTCCAATGATAGTAATAATGATAATGATTCCAATGATAGTAATAATGATAATGATTCCAATGATAGTAATAATGATAATGATTCCAATGATAGTAATAATGATAATGATTCCAATGATAGTAATAATGATAATGATTCCAATGATAGTAATAATGATAATGATTCCAATGATAGTAATAATGATAATGATTCCAATGATAGTAATAATGATAATGATTCCAATGATAGTAATAATGATAATGATTCCAATGATAGTAATAATGATAATGATTCCAATGATAGTAATAATGATAATGATTCCAATGATAGTAATAATGATAATGATTCCAATGATAGTAATAATGATAATGATTCCAATGATAGTAATAATGATAATGATTCCAATGATAGTAATAATGATAATGATTCCAATGATAGTAATAATGATAATGATTCCAATGATAGTAATAATGATAATGATTCCAATGATAGTAATAATGATAATGATTCCAATGATAGTAATAATGATAATGATTCCAATGATAGTAATAATGATAATGATTCCAATGATAGTAATAATGATAATGATTCCAATGATAGTAATAATGATAATGATTCCAATGATAGTAATAATGATAATGATTCCAATGATAGTAATAATGATAATGATTCCAATGATAGTAATAATGATAATGATTCCAATGATAGTAATAATGATAATGATTCCAATGATAGTAATAATGATAATGATTCCAATGATAGTAATAATGATAATGATTCCAATGATAGTAATAATGATAATGATTCCAATGATAGTAATAATGATAATGATTCCAATGATAGTAATAATGATAATGATTCCAATGATAGTAATAATGATAATGATTCCAATGATAGTAATAATGATAATGATTCCAATGATAGTAATAATGATAATGATTCCAATGATAGTAATAATGATAATGATTCCAATGATAGTAATAATGATAATGATTCCAATGATAGTAATAATGATAATGATTCCAATGATAGTAATAATGATAATGATTCCAATGATAGTAATAATGATAATGATTCCAATGATAGTAATAATGATAATGATTCCAATGATAGTAATAATGATAATGATTCCAATGATAGTAATAATGATAATGATTCCAATGATAGTAATAATGATAATGATTCCAATGATAGTAATAATGATAATGATAACAACGATAGAAATAATCATAATAAAGATAGTAATAATGATGATAATAATGATGAAGATAATAAATAATTATATTATCGATAATTATTATCATTATAATTATCATTAATATCACTATTATTATCATTATCACTATTATTATTATTATTATTGTTATTATTGTTAATATTATCAATATCATTATCACTATTATTATCATTATCACTATTATTATCATTATAATTATCATTAATATCACTATTATTATCATTATCACTATTATTATCATTATCACTATTATTATCATTATCACTATTATTATCATTATAATTATCATTAATATCACTATTATTATCATTATCACTATTATTATCATTATCACTATTATTATCATTATCACTATTATTATCATTATCACTATTATTATCATTATCACTATTATTATCATTATCACTATTATTATCATTATAATTATCATTAATATCACTATTATTATCATTATCACTATTATTATCATTATCACTATTATTATCATTATCACTATTATTATCATTATAATTATCATTAATATCACTATTATTATCATTATCACTATTATTATCATTATAATTATCATTAATATCACTATTATTATCATTATCACTATTATTATCATTATCACTATTATTATCATTATAATTATCATTAATATCACTATTATTATCATTATAATTATCATTAATATCACTATTATTATCATTATCACTATTATTATCATTATCACTATTATTATCATTATCACTATTATTATCATTATAATTATCATTAATATCACTATTATTATCATTATAATTATCATTAATATCACTATTATTATCATTATCACTATTATTATCATTATCACTATTATTATCATTATCACTATTATTATCATTATAATTATCATTAATATCACTATTATTATCATTATCACTATTATTATCATTATCACTATTATTATCATTATCACTATTATTATCATTATAATTATCATTAATATCACTATTATTATCATTATCACTATTATTATCATTATAATTATCATTAATATCACTATTATTATCATTATAATTATCATTAATATCACTATTATTATCATTATCACTATTATTATCATTATAATTATCATTAATATCACTATTATTATCATTATCACTATTATTATCATTATCACTATTATTATCATTATAATTATCATTAATATCACTATTATTATCATTATCACTATTATTATCATTATCACTATTATTATCATTATAATTATCATTAATATCACTATTATTATCATTATCACTATTATTATCATTATCACTATTATTATCATTATCACTATTATTATCATTATCACTATTATTATCATTATCACTATTATTATCATTATCACTATTATTATCATTATCACTATTATTATCATTATAATTATCATTAATATCACTATTATTATCATTATAATTATCATTAATATCACTATTATTATCATTATCACTATTATTATCATTATCACTATTATTATCATTATAATTATCATTAATATCACTATTATTATCATTATCACTATTATTATTATTATTATTGTTATTATTGTTAATATTATCAATATCATTATTATCATCATTATTATCATTACCGTTATTATGATCCTTATCATTATTACAATAATCATTATCATCGTCGTCGCTGTTTCCATTAGGATTATCACCCTAACAATGAATTAAAAAGGATAAAGCGATCGAGACCTTTCCCATAGGCAATAGCGTCGGAGAGTTCGCTGACTTCCTCCGGGTGAGGCACTAGAGCGATGACTTCGTGCGCCGCTTCCAGGCAGTCCAGAGCCAAGGCCGGGTGGAGTTGGCTCACCACGAAATCCTCCTTCGCCTTCCAGTCGGGCTCGAGCTGCAGAGGGAACATGTCCTTGGAACCGAATTCATATTATAGCCTATGATATGCTACGGGACTTGTAGTTCGTGGGGTTCTATCGGAATGAGTGTTCCCGCTTTTAAATGTTCATATCAAATACTTATATATAAAAATGATACGAAAAACTGATCTCGCAACTATAAATATAATTTCAATCATGTCGATGTTTACGTATCCGACTGGGTCAAGGGAATTATTTTGTTCAACAATAAATGACAGTCCACATAGCTGTATATTTTAATATAAAAAAGATGGACACATAAGACAAGTTTTAATTTTCATAATTCATTTTGAGATATTCTGACCTGCGGGTTACACCTCGAATCGATTTGTAAATAACAATCACAAGCACGAGCATTTCAACGTGTTCTGTCTGTGGATTCATAAGAGGTTTTAAAGTCGAGGCAAGTCTAACATAAGAAGCTAATAATAAGTGAAGCAAAGACAACCTATGACTTGTTCTTGTTTAGTATAGTTCTGTTAAATAACTAGGGATTAGTCTAAGAAATAATCATAACCAGAACAACATCGATAGCAGTCTAAAAATACCTCTACCTTGGAAAAGTTGAACACCCACAATACTCACAAGTTCCACGCTTGTGTACTCCATAAACATAGCAAGTCCCTGGTTGAGAGCCACATCATCCCACCATTCGGGAGCGAGAACGTCCCCGAGACACTGCTGCGCCAACGCGTAGGCAACAGCGTGTGTGACTTGCTCTTGGTCCCTTGTGCTTGAGATTTCCGGATGGTAAAGCATGTGGTCTTCTCTGTGCGGGAAAATGCTATATTAGCTGAGGGTTTTATATTCAGAAAGTCTAATATGATTTTGTTTTACTTACATTTCTTCTACTTATCTATGTTCTAC